CTTTTATACTAATTCTAACACAGACTTTGTTAAAATATTCCACTACTACTTTTACTATTGCATAAAAAAGCTGTTCAGTGAACACCATCATGCGGTTAGAATCTTGCCCTAAATAATACGCGATTGTGTAATAAAATGTCTAAGAAGAAATATAATTTTCCGGAATCCAAATCACAATTTCATTTGTGTGTAATGATGTAAAAGCTATCACTAAGAGTTAGATAAACTATATATATATATATATAAACCCTGGCTGATCAATCAGCAAGTCTGTTCAAAAAAAGCCGTTGGTGAGAATTCATGATCTCATCATTTAAAATATTTTTTATTCCATACATTTTGTCAGTAAATAAGTGTACTTTTTCTGTTTCTAATAGAGAAGGTGATATTCTGAGTATTATATGGTAGAAAGGGTGACTAAGATTATTTTAATTCGGTTACTTTATCGTACTATGAAACGATTAATTCTTGCTAGGAAATTAACTCGTAGTGGAGTTCGATATGAATTATTTTTCAACTTAATTATTTCAAGTGAATACGATTTAAATAAATAATGTAAAAGTGTTAACATTGTAACAAAAAAAAGAAGTGGAAATTAGTTAACTTCTAGTGTAAAATTTTAATGGTGGCTTTACGTGCTATTCTAGGTGGTCCTTTAGAGCTATGCAGGGCCCATCAGCTGAGTTTATCAAAGACTTATGGAATAATGGTTAACTTACTGAGGTTTGTGTCCTATATAAAGGGTATAAATCAACATAGCTTTATGTTTTTTCACTGGTTAGATAGCTGCCTCTTGTGAAGAAGCTATGATTTTGGTTATTCATTCTTATTGACTGTAATTGATTTATGGCGACTAAAATAGTAGGCTCGTCTACTTTAGAATTATATTGCTCAGGTCTTTTAAATGAACGCTCTCGTTTGATAAAATCTTATATATAGTAATTTGCAAAATGTCTATGTGAATACTAAATTCTTTCCACGGATTGTATGCTTCCTTATTTAGATTGTGCGGTGATAAAAGTTTCAATGAAATAAAACCGTTTTTTTATTATGTCGTGTGAATATCGTTCTTATTTCCTTATTCAGATATAGTTTACAAGAATGAGGTGTGTGAAATGTGTTCAGAAATATGAAAAACTCCACTCTAGGATGTTTTTGTGATAATACAACAGATTTACTTACAGATAATCAAATTTATTTAGATTCTACCTTTCACCGCTGTATAACGAATAACAGATATTCCACGATCATATGCCTATGCATTTCCATTCTACTTGTATTTCGATAGTTAAGATATATTCTGGTTTTTATCAAAGATTTTTATGTGTTGTTTCAAGGTATTGTAAATTACAGTGAAACATCTTCAATTCTGTAAAAAATTTCATGTGAAAAAAGTGTGGATAATACAGCTGCTGATGAAAATTGTGTTATTTCGCTTAAACAAAACATTTCTTCAAATCAATTGCTGTTCAGAGTTAACACAGAAAAGTTGTGTTTAAGTTCCCTTGAAATCATGTGGTATAATCGTGTTTTGTTGACTGTAAGTCAATGAGAACACATGGTACACCTAAAAACTAGTTTTATGAAGCCCTAATATAAGTAGTTTGATTTTTTACATAGTAGTACTTAGTTTGACAGTATTCTTAACTCACAAATCTGTTCAGGTTATTCAAGCCTACTTTATTGAACAACTTATAATCATGAATATGATTACATTTAGATATGATAGAGAAGACTTGTAGCTCAGGTGGATGATTTTGATATGGTTGTGTTCTCTGAGCTGGATGGTTAATTTGCGAAGCTTTCAACACCCTACTGGTTGACATCTTCAGCGCATACTTCAATTTGAAGTGAGCTTTTAGATTTCTCCACGAGTTTATTAATCATCTCTCCCCGTGACCTTGGACGTGGTTGGTTTCCTTTTGTGTGTTTTCACACCTTCTAGGCTACTTGTATTGGAACTGATTGTTTCTTTGACTTGAACTTTGACCCTTTGTGTGTGAAGTTTCTTTTTTATCGGTTGATAAATTTTGTCTATCTCGATGTGTCTATTGATTGACGATTCACTGGAATGCCAAGCTTCTAAAAATTCTCTAGCATTCTTGTTGTTTCCTCTGTCCAATATTCGAACGTTGTCCCAACCGAAATGATCTCTGTGGTTGTCTGTATGTAGTGATATGAGGGAGTGGATGTTATGTCTTTTGACAGCTAACTTATGTTCGTGGATACGAAGGCGAAGGGGACGTCCACTTTGGCCAATGTAGTGTTTTTCACAGTTGTTACAGTTTATTTTGTAGATTATGTTGGTTTTATCTTCTTTCGCTGTTGAGTCTTTTGGTTGACGTAGAATTGAGTGAAGTGACAAAGTCGCTCAACAGCGAACGAAGATAAAACCAACATCATCTACAAAATAAATTGTAACAACTGCGAAAAACACTACATTGGCCAAAGTGGACGTCCCCTACGTCTTCGTATCCACGAACATAAGTTAGCTGTCAAAAGACATAACATCCACTCCCTCATATCACTACATACAGACAACCACAGAGATCATTTCGGTTGGGACAACGTTCGAATATTGGACAGAGGAAACAACAAGAATGCTAGAGAATTTTTAGAAGCTTGGCATTCCAGTGAATCGTCAATCAATAGACACATCGAGATAGACAAAATTTATCAACCGATAAAAAAGAAACTTCACACACAAAGGGTCAAAGTTCAAGTCAAAGAAACAATCAGTTCCAATACAAGTAGCCTAGAAGGTGTGAAAACACACAAAAGGAAACCAACCACGTCCAAGATCACCAGGAGAGATTAGCCGAAGTCATTCAGGCAGTGCGAATAACTAGCTTTCTACAAGTGAACGATTACTGCATAGCTACGTGGTTCCTTCTTGATTTCTGAACTCTTCAGAAGTCTTCCAAACTGGTGCAGCGTAAAACAGGTGAATTAGTAACATAGTCATTTCTCGAGATACGGAAAAATGGGATCAGGTCTTCTTTCTTCTGTAGGTATGACAATGAGAAGTGAATCAGTCCCCTTAATCTCTCATTCCATGACCAACCTATTATACAGATAAAGGTAGTGGGGTAATCCTTTGAAATATACCCCGTATGTAGGAAAAATCCGTCATGGTTACACTATAAATCTCCTGGATTATTGATGAAGTCCCTTGATGTAACGTCTATCAATAATTATATCACGCTTTAGACATTATTCCTCATTCCTACGTGGATAAAACAACTTATTGTTCATCTTCTTCTGTAGCATATAACCTGACTGAATTCACTCTCTGACAGCCGTCTGTCATTTTATCCAGTCGCTGTATGATTTTATTCGGTATCCGGATAGCTGCCAAACTAAAGGTTTGTAATGTATTTACTTCACTCATCCATCGGAAATAATTTTGGAATCCCCAAAGGTTAGATCTGCATACGGCTTTATCTGAATCTAGTTTGTCTTTTGACTTACCCATTACGTTGAACTCTGCGAGATTCTATCTTCGCCGGAAGCTACCTGCCTATTTAGGCATTACATAAAGTTCCTCAATGTGATCGCTAGGCCATTTTCGGGGGAATATTCTGCAACTTTGAATTATTTTTTGGAAGCTCGGCTCCTAAAGACATCTGGCGGCGGAAATCTAAAACTGCTTGAAACGGCGGATGAATAGGCACCAGAAAACTGGAATGATATGAACTATGTGGTTTTACCTGGATCTTTGCCCGATGTCATTCATGCTGAAGTGGATGACGATGATATTTATGTTTCTTCGAATGACTTTGATCTTGACACATGCTGTTTTGGTGTTTCTGGATTGAGGGCTAAACTGGAGGAGAAACTTGAACCAGATTAGAAAATGACACTCGTTTCAGAACTGACCTGAACGCCTAATATTATGTTAGTGGAAGAAATCGAGGGAGATGAGAAGACTCGCAGATAAACAAATTTCTATGACAATATTAATTTGACTCAATGCCTATGAGAAACATGTCTATTTGTACGCCCTGTAGCGGTAGGTAATTCCCCAAAATTGTTGGCCACAGCATTCATCACTGAATACTGATAAGGGTGATTCGGAGGAGGTCGTGTGAAAAGGAGATGAAAGCGTGTGGGCAGACTTGGAGTGGGGTGAAAAGGTTAGCAGAGAACAGAAGGCAATGGAGATGAACAGCTGAAGCCCTATTTTCCTCTAGGAATTAAATGATGTAATAATAATATGTGTGCATTCAACCATAAGACATCGCTAAGATGTGATGATTTACAATGCTATACAGCTAATATGATCTCAGTAATCCAAACGAACTTTACATCAGTGATTCACTTGTGGACTATTGAGCTAATACTTCCGTTGGGATAGGCTTAACATACTGTTGTTGCTAATACGTACGATAAATACCAAGTGAATGATACATTCTATTTCGCTTTTTGTTGATATTATTATTACCAAACTAAGTAAGTCGTATTTACCTCATATCGCGTTAATGAATACCGAAAATATGTTAAAATAGCTTATCTTAGATACCAAAAACCTAATAAAAACGACTAATTCCCGATTGTTTTGCCATATGGTATTGTTATATGATAATAACGTTATATTCCCCAAGCACTAAATAAACTTTAACTTCCAAAGAATGATTGGCGCAGGAAATTTACTTTTTACAGATTTATTTGCACAAACTTCGAGTTTCCAAATCTTTTAGATGATGTGACAGTTTTTCTCAAACTCAGTACGCACATATATTAACGGAATTGGTCAACATGCGGGTGTCTCCCTTTGTAAGAGCTTCTCAGTAAGGTTACTGTGTGCTCAAAACTACCTGTAAGTAGTTTCACGTAATCTTGAGCGTGTTTAAAGTGTTTAGACTGGTTAAAATGATTTCTAAATATTTTTAAACACTATGATTAATACATTCTACCACTCAACATATTTTTTACGCTTCATGTGGGCCATTATTTCTAAATTTATTACCAAGAATTATCACTGATGTTTTCAATTGCAGGTGGTTTTGAAGCTTTTAGAAATCTGCGTGGATCTTCTGATTTCATTGATCGACAATCACCACTTCTAATCAATTGTTTTCATACTGATGACAGTTCGTGTTCAGAAGCTGCATCACCTGCTTCATTAAGTGACAATTCAGACCATTCTTCGTGTGTTTCACGTGTGTTTAACGATAAGCTTGTGATTACACTGAACGATAGCAGACATGATATTTCAAAGCATCATCATCATCACAAGGAAAACTCTACTCATGATAATTTTATCCCAAGAGAATTATCCTGTCACAGTTTAAATGGATTTGATTGTAGTGAGACAGAAAAAATTATTTCTTGTTTAAAGGATTGTGCTGGTGATGAAACTCTAGTTGTTCGTATTAAACAAGCTCCATTAAGAGCGTCGATACCTCAAAATAATGACGACGTTCTTGGTGCAAGCATTTCACAAATTTTACCGTATCTTTATTTAGGTAAGTAATACAAATTATATTCTAAATTATTATATTACATAAATAAATGAACTATATTATTTATCAGACAACCTACTATAAATAAAACTGCATTTTAGTCATTTATGAGTGAAAATCATATTTCTCCAACATTACACCAGTCAAGATAACCATATTGGCGATCTTCTGGTGTCCCATCATGGTACACCTCAGATGGGCTAAACCTAGCGAAAAGGAACATTGCAACATTCATTCCTTGTTTGTGAATATTTAACACTCAAAAATGTCACGCTTAAGTTAGGTTGAAATTACAAAATTCTGTTTAATAACATTTTCAGCTAAATGGTTAAATACATGTGAAAAGATAAAATGGACATCTATAGTATCACTACAGTAAAATTAATTGTAGAAGCTGTATTGCAAATGCCGGAAATCACAATCCGCCAAATAGCAAATCTAATATTAGAATAGGTTGCGTGGAAGATGCATTCATGGTAATTAGAATAAATGATTAAGTGAACAATTAAGATCTAATCAATGTCTTTTACGATATCTAATTTATATTAGAAGAAAAATCTGATGAAAAGTCTGACCTTTAGAGACCTTGGTGAAACAAATAAGTACAGGAAATATACAGACTCAAGTTCACGTAAAATCGATTCATACAGATCAAACAGTCAGTTACAGCAGGAACAACTAAACAGAACACAAACTTTTTTAAAAGCCACAGGACACACTGCAGCATCCGAGTCTTAGGGAAGGGGGTGAGAAACTTCTATAATGGATACATGTAAAGCCTTCTTAAAAGATATGTTACGTCAATACAAGCTATCAGTTCAGAATCATGCAATGGAATCTTAAAGAAAATATCGTTCTATTGTATCTGGAGCAAGATCACTGCAAGACTGTAGAAACCTTTTGGAATAGATTTCACTCACGTACAGATGAAATAATTTTAATTTACACTATGTCAACCAAAAGAAACAACAACAAAAATGGCAGAACAAACATCGTCTACGTGATAAGGTTCAGCAACTGCGAAAAAAAAACATATTAACTGAAGTTGGCAAAATCTTCGATTTTGCATCCACAAGTATAAACTGATCGTCAAAAGACATGATATCCGCTCTATAACATCAAGGCTTACAGACAACAGAGGAAATCAATTCGACCAGCGGAAATGTGCAAATCTTAAACAGAGAAGACGCCGGAAATGCTTGGAAGTGCCTAGGAGCCTGTTATTCAGATGAACATGCAATCGACAAACAAATTGGCATAGATCAGCTTTATCAAACAATAAGAAAGAAGTCACATCATCAAAAGGTTAATTGTCGGGTATACAAAATAATATATACCGTTAAAAGGGAATTGGGGAGTCAGAAAATCGACCGAAATAATCAGTGACATTCAAAGTCACCTGGAAACATGGCTAATAAAATCCAGGGGAATTCTAAAGGTTGCATTCACATTGAAGGCTAAAATGACAATTAAAGTTTCATAACTAAACCATTCTGTTCGGAAGATACAACTACATCAAAAGGTATATTTCCGCATACACAGTTAATATAAGTAAACCTTACAAACTCAAACGTAGATATATGCATAAGAAGTATTGCAAAATCTCAAATAGACATGAACCTTAGTCGAATTTATACTGTGTATTTATACTGTGGTACTTGTGATAACATTCAAAAGACGATGACTTTCTTATGCCTACAATACAGAAAGTTTTGTTCAACCGACTGCTGTTTCAAATTGTAAACTCTTCAATTACTCGAGGTACATGAAGACAACCCAATGATACAAAACGTCTAGACTCACGAACCGGGAACTCTTAAGCATACGGAATACAAGCAAAACTGAAATGGACTAAGAATGGAATTCAGCTGAGGAAAACCACAGAACAAGATACACACTATCATTAAGTTCACGGTTTCTTCGATCTTTAAAAGGTCCCTCTCTGTATGTTTACGTTAAGTTTACGGATCTCTTATTTTACAGTTATGCTCAGGCAGTTGTGTGATACTCATAAAGGTGTGTAAAAACGAGTGAGGAAACTGAGGAGATACTAATGAAGTAACGAACCAGACAGAAATGTTCTGTTTTAACCTACTGAATTTGTATTGATGAGAAAAATGTGAAAAATTAGAATGCCCGATGGAAAATCTCCTAAAACGTTTTTTGATTCAAACTCCTTAAGATTAGTTTTCTTAATAACACCGAAATCAGAGTGTTTTTGATGCGCTGAAAAGTTTTTTTTCTTATGTATCTCAATATATTGCTGACAGGTGTCAATTTGAATGTCACTTCGTGTATTTTATAGCAGTTTGTCAGCTGACCTTCGGTATTTGTTGGTTAGAGCTTTACACTTCAAACTTTTAACAGTACATTAGGTTCTAAAGTCATTTGTCTAAAGAGTGTCCACAATATCCTATTCACACATGCTAAAGAAAATCAGTGATAATGCTTAGTATTCGCAGAAAGTTAATAATAGAGTAATGCGAATTTCCAAAAACAAATAGACAGTTTAAAACGTATCATTTACCGTATTTGATTAGAAACTGTTATGGTATGTTTAAATATAATCGTTATATTTATTTGATGAAGATAAACCCTATAGACTTTGTTTATATAGTCAGTAAAGTATGTATTCGGAGACAAAACAGTAATGAAGAGAAAAACCGGTTGTTTCAGCTCAGTTTAATCTAGTTCCTTCTTTGGTGTTTTCAGCTTCAGAGTAATCCCGAAAATCTGAAGAAAGCTTCAATTTTGACTGATCTGCAGTTCACTCAAACTAAGCTGATAAGTGTCAGAAATACTGCATAGCTCATAACAAGAAAATGAAAGATTTAGACAATTACATTTAAAATTTCACAGTGATATTCTTACACCTCAATTCTCTAAGTACATCACTAATTTGTAGCACTGTCATAAATTTACTGAAAAGCCTGCTTTTTTAAATTCAGTGTATACATTTTAAAATCGTCCGTGTTCATCTGAGCCAAATTACCCCTCTTATGAAGCTTTCCAAAAGAGAGTAAAATAAGCAGTTAGTACGTTAATTAACCAATTATGGGAACAATTTTCTTCTGTAATCATAAACTATATTAAGCAGTCATTTTCATGACACTGATAACGTTTTGAATAGTTGGTTCAAGAAAAGTTTATTGAAGTGCTCATCGTTCAAAGGCCTTCAGAGAATTTTTCTCAGGCGTGAAGGGAGAATTTCAAAAATTCTTTTGATGCATAATAAGTGGTTAAAGCTGATCTCTTGTCTTCGCTCAAAAACTCCTTTAATTTTTTCACCGGTCAAATGGTTGCGCAACTATCTGATATTCTGAGGACACGGGGCTCCATCCTTAACAGGAGTATGCATCTGAGCACCTGAAGAATTTCAAACTAGAAAATAAACAACTTCTTGATTTTCAACAATACTTCTGTGTGATGTCTATTCATCGAGGAATATGTATTGAAGTCAACTTATTGCTTACGAACTCAACAATTCAATTTTGTTAGTTTTTTACTTGGTTCACTTCTGGTGTGAACTAATTTTTACTGACTTTTTTTTACAATAAGTTCAGTTAAATGTGTCAGTTACTACAACCTGAAGAAATGAGCGTTAATAATATGAGTTCATATAAGCTTTGATGACTGTTTACTTTTTATATTGACCAATGTTTCTAAAAATATTTTTCAAGATTTTGTTCATTCATTTGAGTGAATCGTAAAGTTTATTATAATAGAGAGTAAAGCTATATAAAGCAAAGCAGGGATGCGTGTGAGTACATTTTGCTCAAAAATTCTTCCAGTTATTGATGATGTATCACTTACATAATGTAGAGTAACGAACAGGGGCATTTTGTTCACAGCGAATGCACATATTTTTAAACGGTGAAGCGGATTGCTGAAGATGGAAAGAGAACATTTGAGTGAGGTGTCAACATAATGACACCCTTCTGTTTCATATGTTCTTAATACTTTGTAAGGACTTTCAGTGTGAGGAAGCTTATATCAGTAGAGGAACTTCATAAGCCTGTGTAAACTGAACCATAGACTTGATTTCGTCTTACGAGCGGTTAGTGCTTCTATTTGCTTTTTAAACAGTCATTCAGGAGACTGACGATAAACAAAGTATTTGGGTATGGTTAAATGTTTTCAAAATTCAAATTTTGAATTACTGTTGATTTCGCCTCATAATATGAAAATACTTTCTTAGTACAAATGGCTAATAAGTCTTCAGTTATCCTGACATAAGTCATTGAAATAATTTGTAATAACTTATATGTTGATAAACGATTCTGGATCAACAAAATCAGACAAAATTGTTGTGCTTTTTGGTTGGCAATGGTCGTTTAGAGGAAACTACAGCAAGACAGCAAATGTCGGTTAACTGTTTCCCACCATCAAAATTATGTGATTAACACTTTGAAATCAAGATATTTTCGTACGAATCGATCAGTTGAATTACTGATTATCAAATAGAAAAACAAAGAAAATGTACTTACCAGTACGTGGTATTTCTTAGAAAAAGTGTCAGTGTCAAAAGAAACAGAATTTTTAAAGGTAGCTTCTATTTCTTAAATGTGTCAGAATCTTTTGAAAAAGATTTATGTAGGTTGTAGAACACCTACTAGTAACTGTTAAATTGTTCCATTTTGCATACCATCTAGATTATATTAATTCCCTTATTTAGTTGCGTGTTACAGAACAACATCATTTATATGGTGCAAAGAGAGTACAACAATTTCAAAGATTGTTAGCACGCAATATACAGGATATTTTATACACAAATATATATATATATATATATATGAAAGATACTCATTCAGACATTTAGAAAAAGTTGAGCAAAGAATATCCTTTTTGAGGCTAGGGTGGCTGAAACTGAAATAAGAGAAATGTGCTACATTCAAGCAACAGAACACAGAGATACGCTGAACAGCACGTCTATACGTACTTGGCTATCAGGATCCAATTTATGACTTTCAAAAACGTCTGTAATATATGTTTATCTTATATAATAAATGGTCAAACTGACTTGAAGTGTAAATGTCTTCATTGTTGCTCCTAAAATTAAAGATAAGTATTTTTCAAATTAGTACTAGTGTCATTAAAGTTAACCTAATTGTGAGATTTTAAGTGTGAAAAGTGTAAACCAGTAGGATATGGGAACATACACTACTGATTTTGACCTGGTAGCTACACATTACCGTCAACCCTTTGTCACTAACATCGATGAACTCGACCAGTTGACTTATCCTTAGTTCACCTCATGTTGTTCTGAACATCATGGTTGCTGAATTGTTTTTTAAAGTAACAATCGTTTCTCAGGGACGTAGCATTAATGCATTGCGTATTGCCAGACCGACTTTCAAATGTGGTCATGTACATGAGTAGAGAATGTTAAAATTATTTTCCGTCTATTTGTTTTATGTCAATAAAATGGATTCTCATTTTAAAAATAGCAAGCAGATATTTGTTTGAGTAACAGGACTTTTTCTGAAAGATATAAGGATGTGTAAAATTATCAATTTTCGGTGAGAATAATTTAACAGGATGTATCGGCGATTTCCTCGGAAAAGAAGTCTTCACATGATGATTTCTTCTTCATTTACATTGGAGCAACCAGAAGAACTACGTGACGCATATAACTAAGTAATATAGAAAATACGTCAAAGTCATTTATGTGAAATAGATTGGTGTATTAAGCAGATCAGTGTGATCACAACATTGACCTGTGAATTTTTCACCATTAAAAGAGGTGATGCCTTCATAGGCAAACAGGAATAGAGTACTGCTGGATAATGAGATTATTCACAATATATTTCAAATAAACCAGTTACGTCTTTATAAATTTTGTGAATAGTTTGGAAACAGATTCGCAGTTTCTATTTGACTCTGTGCTTAAGATCTGCTGATTTAACTGGTTGCACTATATTTATCTAAGCCTAGTTCGAACTGCTTTTCGGTTAGTCTGATTTACTTGTGTGCTCCTTTTTAATGTTATGATTGTTTCACTCAGTTAAATTTCAGAAAACATATATGTACATACACTTAGTACTCAAATTAAATTTGAAATTTTCAAGCTATGCAAAACATTTTCAAAAACTAATAAAGCTCACTTATTTCACTATTTTATGGAAAGGCAATGCACGCGATTCACAAGATGTTGACTTACTTCGACAGTTGAACGTTACTCACATAATCAATGTGACAGATACTCTACCTATGCCATTTAAAAGGTTGAATCGCATACAGTATCTTCATATACCGGCATCAGATACAACTGACCAAAATTTGCGTCCGGCCTTTGACAGAGCTGTACAGTTTATAGGTATGTGTTGGATTTATTGACTTACTGTTTTGCTTTCTATTTGTAAACTATTTGATATTGTGAAACATTTTGAATAATAAGTAAGTAATTTTTAAATTATTTTCTCCTATAATTGTTTGAGGTCATTTCATATTATGATGCTAATCACCCGATCATTTTAGACTGGAATCGAAATTTTTAATTTCCACTTTATTTATTATCCATCAACTACTAAATAATTTAACTTCAAGGATCACGCAGATAAACTCATAATAATTGACAAAGTCAGAGTTCCCATATCATTGAATGTTAGCCAAAGTGTCTGAATGGCCAGTGACCTAGGTTTCGTACTAGAAGGATCCCGGGTTTGATCCCTTGTGAGGTCACAAGCGATCACTGTTGAAGATTCTCAAATTAAGGCAAGGCAGCTGTTTGGCTGTCCTTGGCTTTTAGTGATGCCTAACTGATTTTGGTGCTTGACAAAATTCGCATCAAAATTAAATGGATTGACAATGATATTTATTTCATGTTGTTATGAAATCCATAGAAAATTTATCATGATTGAACATGCACTATAGAGGAGCACACAAATTTAAATAACGACATTCTTTTTCCTAGCATTTCCAAATTTCTCTCAGTTTTGAAAAGGAAATCAAAAATTCCTGTATAAATGTAAGATTAGGCTTCATTTAAACACAATTTTCCTATATCTTGTTTTTTATAACAGATTGGTTTCCAGTTTACTTTTTAGTTTGCTGAAAGTTTTAACTATAACCTTGGTGTAGTGAAGAATTTTAACGACCACCTAAACTTTTTTACAAACTTTCAGTGTGTTATGCTTTATTTTTAGTATTATTAAAAATTTGTAGATCATTTGATGGGGTTTTGTTACAAGATTAATTATTTGTATACTTTAATACGCTGTAGAGCGCATTTTGTACTTTCTTATGATTATAATTTATTATCTCACTTTAACAAAATGGTCAGTGTTGAGTGATTGAAGTGTAGAATAGATTTAGTCAGGTATGCATTCAAAGTATGTAAGTAACGCTTGTGTATTTATAAATGCATTTTAGGCATTTGATGTGTAAAAATATGGAAACGTAGTGAAGAAATAAGACAGTATATACCAAAACTAGCTCAGGGGACCGAAGTGAATTGCGTTTTCATCCTGCGTTGGTTCATCAAGTACTCAAATGTAGAGAAAAAATTAGTGAAAATAAAATATTAAGGATAATTACAGGGAATATAATGAGGATATAATGGCTTTGGAACATCACAAAGAATGAATGTCATTGTCTTTTTGTAAATGATTTTGGATTACATCACAAACCGTCTCATGTGATTTGTTGCAGCAGTCTCAGCGAATTGACTAAGGAAGTTTTTGCGTGGCTCAAACTAGAATTCATAGACTTCATCAGTTGATGGCAGGTTTTGAATTCTCATCTCACAACTCTTTCTCAGCCTAGTCTAATGTCAGCTATAATGCTCGACGAGTTGATATTTTGGCATGAGTAACACATTTCCTAGCTGTCTTAGTTTATGCAACTTCACAATGTTATTGACTGACTTTCTTTCCTCATTTAAAACCTCATTAAAACAGTGATGTGAGTTTAGAACGTGATTCCATATTAGATAAATTTATTTTAATAATCCCACAGTGATGCAATATTAACAACTGGATGACGTTTCTAGCATAAATTATTGCTCATAATCATATCAATTTAGTCACGTCTTTTCCCAAGTTGTCTTATGACAGATCATATTAAACCATTAAATATGATAGACAGAGTACAGAAACCTATGGTCAAAGACGGATAGCTTCTCCATATCCTGCAGGTTCGGTGACTACGTTTGATGTATGTAATAAAGAACTTAGTAAATCGGGATCATTACGCATATCCCTTCATGAGCAAACGTATATCAAACCTGAACCAAAGAATCCACATGTTGGTAAATGCCAAACGAGTCTTTGCATCAATGCTGAGATTTCGTCATCTATTACTCCCTTGGAGGGGTGGATCGACTTCCCTAGTTTGTGAGATAGCCAGTGAAGAAAATTTGTCTCTCGAACAGCAAATTCAAGATTTATTACTAAAGAAAATTTCAACCAGAAGTTATCAGAAATTCCCTTCCTATTTTTGCTTTAAATATTTCGGTTACTTTTAAGGTGGTTGGTGCTTTCTGTCAGTCTTAAAAGTATATATCACAGCTTATAGAAGACATTAGATCCAACTGCAAACAATACAGTATGAAAAATAAAATTCATTGTGAACCCAGAATTGTTCATGAATAAGTCTTTTATATTGAATTATTCGTTGCCAGCAGAGAAAGTCTGCTGAAAAGGTGATGAAAATTGTTAAAAGAAAACTGTTCAGCATTTATTGTTCCACGAAATAATAATCGAACCTCACTGAATACCTCTTTTTCAAGCAAATTTTAGAAATACTTTTGATTTTTGTAAGTGGCTGTTTTTATTCTCAAGGGTATTAAGTGAACAAATGCTCTGTAACTACCCAAGCTTTTCAAACTTTCGAAAAGTACAAGCTGTTCACAAATACTTCGAAAAGAGCAGCAAACTAATGTTCATTTTTACTGAATCACAGTTTTCGCCAACATTAGATATCATAATTAGGCTAAATTTATTAGTTCAACATAAGTGCTATTGTTGAATTTTCGGCATACTCAGAAACTTGTAAACTGTGCAAAAATATTGTACCATATGTTTAAATGAACTAGTTACCACACAGATCTACAAAGAAAAGCTTAAAATATAGCTGATTAGTGTATTGCTTCAGCTACTGTTCTGAGTAAAACGAACCTAAGACGCTTTATAAAACTAACTCAATAAACCGTGACCACTAACCGTTTGAAATTGAATACTTCAATATTTATACTTGTGCTCCTCCGAAAGCTGTCAGGGTGTCATTTAAAATAAAGTTCGATGGTTTTCCTAAGTCTAATGATCTATTTGTGCTACTGATAAATAGGGTAGCCCGGGTAAACTGAAACCACATCTTCATATGAACAGTAACAGTATGTATTTCTTAGTCTAACTGTTTAATTTTTTTCCTTGTAGTTTGTTGAATCCTCTTACCCATTTTTCCATTTGCCAGAAAAAGCAAGAAAGCAAAATGGAATTGTTCTTGTCCACTGTTTAGCCGGTGTTTCACGTTCAGTAGCTGTTGTCATTGCTTATCTGCTATACAGTAATCGAATGCTGAATGTTTACAAAGCACTGGAATATGTACAAGCCCGTAGATCTGTAGCTGGACCAAATCTACACTTTATGGGACAACTTCAAGCCTATTATCAAGATCTTCACAGTCATAAGTCATCCATTTTCTGTCATCGAAGTAACTCCAAATCTAAGGATAAACTGTCTACACGCAATAGTGCAGAGAACTTAACTTGTAAATTACGTAAAAACAAACTGTTACGTAGTGTCAGTCTATCGTCCAGCTGGAAAAGCTCCAAACCGTGTACTCCATCTGCGTTTCATAGAATTAGCACTTCAAGTAAAACCAATACACCTCCATTTATTCCATCCCCCATGTCATTACATGAATTTAATAAGAATTCCAATAAATCTCTCAATTCTACTTGGTCAGTCAGTAGCACCACAACACGTACAAACCGTCGACATCCTCTTTCTCGTAATGATTCACATGAATCTAAATCAGGTTCAACGAGACTCATAAAAACTCACGAATAATTTAAAAGTTGTATCACCTAAACATGTGAAGTTTAAAGAAGTGTAAGTGAGATGCTTAGCTTCTAAGTAAAATTATCTAAAAATAAACACCTGTAAAAATTCTTGTGATATGTATACATTTATTTGTAAACAAAGAATTGTCAGATCCTAGTGTTTATGACTTAACTTCTGTTCATAAAGTCCAGGTATATTATAATTCAGTAATTGTGTTCTTCCTATATCAAAATAGATTTTGAAATATTTTGACAGTGGTGTAGTGTTATTCCATTGAACACTCGTATTGCTTCACTTTAAAAAGATGAATACTTTTCAAATATGAATTCGAATCTATCATTTGTGTACAAATATTTGGTGCAACTGTCTATATTTCAGTTTCCAGCTGTTTTAGCCCATTTTCCAATTTGACCTGGACTTGTATTTTCCTCTTTTTTTATTTATGATTTTACAGAATGTTTTGAAAAAACTCATTGTTTCGCTAAAGTATAAGTACTTACTTTGGTTTGCACTGTATTTATTCATATTATTATTTAAAAAAAAGATTGTACCGGTTGTGTCTTAATTTCATGGTTGTCAGGATTAAATATCTCACTGATGGTTCCATCCAGTTCAATAGAATACACTGTGTGAAAAAGATATTACGATATTTAACGTGACTTAGATTAATGATTTGCTTCCCATTATGGGTAAATTTTGTTTTGATAAAGTCTCACAGTGTCATACAGTAATTTTACTGATGACGTTTCGAGAACTATTTATTGATCATAATAATATTCTTATATCAATGACTTGCTTCCCAGTCGTTTCATCTTTGTCACCTTCACAACTAATTTGTTTGTTTTCTTTCATTGTATTCTGAGCTGAACACATGACTTCAAGCTTTGAAGTGTTGGTGGGGATGATGTTGCTTTTATGGAGAGTAGTCAGTCACCTCTTACCCATATTCCCGCTTTTCAGGGCTTCTTATAGACTGGTAAACTATGCACGTTTTTAGTAATCCATTGATCGAGAATCAAAGCTGGATCCGTCACGTGGCTGGGGAGCATCGTTACACTGCATTGTGTTACCACTAAATAAGTTTGTAATAAATCTTTGTGAACGGTATAATATTTATGCACCTCTATCTGAGTGGCTGAAATCAAATCAGAGAACTACCATTTTATCCCCTAGTTTCCTTTTCACATCTTGTAAACAAGTTTAAACGTCAAATTTCTCTTTCAGATATTCTAGCTGCTTAACTTACTAGGAAATACTGGACTGCCCTCTAAATCGCAGTATAATGCCTAATACATATCCAATTAGTTATATGAATTCTCTGTAGATCAAAATAACTTACAATATAAGCAGTGTATGTCAGTGGATATTAACAAAGACTTGTATCTGTTCTAAGAATGATAGGGCTGTTTTTCAGTGACTATACACTTGTATGTCCTAGTTGATTGAAAAATCTTTCCCATATAATAATTCATTCCACCTTTCGCAACTTTAAATAGATTTAAGCAAACTCTTGAAATATGTATCCAGTTATTTTCATTGTTAGTATTTAACTACTAATAAGTAGAATCATGTATTCAGTCATTTTTTCTCGATCATTTAAGATTCATAAAATAGAAGAAATACAGTCGAAAAACTGTTGGTTTTCGCTCATCTAAATAATAACTGACTAAAATATATTGCATCAGAATCGTATAACCTAAAAGTGAGGGTACAACTAAACAACTTAATGTGTGCATAATTTATCAGTAAATAATTCTATATAAATGGTAAATATTTACCATGTGCACGAAGTACCCCTATTTTTAGATTATATAATTTTACAATATATTTCTTAAAATTCATGTTTAAGTATGGCTCCATATTTCAAAGTAATTATTCCGTAATAATAACTGGTTTTAGAACAGCTGACGTGGCACTGAATGTGAGAAGAATTCGCTCTTATCTAGTGAGTCATAGTTGACTGGCAAGTTAACAAGTAGGTAACTTACTAGATCACCAGATGAATAGTCAGTCCTAAGCCCAAACAAAAGAGATTGGATGAAAGGTTAACTATCCTACTCCATAAGGTGGTTAGATTACTACACAGATTCCTATTAGTATCATTTCCTTGGGTTTATAGTGGAACATAAGGCTTTGACAACACATCTCCACTTTATTTTTTTTCTGCCGTCCTCTTCAGCTGGGCCCATGATTGCCTAAACTCTCTCATCTCTATGTCTGCCAACATGCTTTCATCTCCAATTCACATGACCTCCTCCATGTCACCCTAGGTCGAACCACTCGTCGATTCCCATTTGGATTCCACTTGAGCAATGGCTTACATTGCATGTGATGCCACTCGACGGTCTCCTCAACGCATGCTCAATCCTTCCTTATTTTCTCTTACATATTTGTTGAGCAATAAGCTCTCGCCTTTTGGTTTGTTCCCAGACAAAGTTTCTTGTTACTAATTCTCTCTGGCCTGCCGGCCATTTGATCTTCAGTATGGAACCTGCATATCTTCGAGTTTGTGTGAAGTTAGACATGAACTATGCGTGAAATCCATATATGTTAAAGTCTTCTGATCCGTGGTCCAGCGTATTCCTGTCTCATTAATATAGGTATAAAATTTGGGCATTGTGGTAGAGTATAACTCCATTATAGATAAGATTTTATTTGGATAAATCACACAGTGTTGTGCGGTAATATTTACTGATGACGTCTCCTCGCTCCCTACAGTCTTTCGCATAATCCAGCCTACACCAATTAGGAATATCATCGTCGATAATAGGGAGCCAGCTTGTCTTACTCCTATATTTACTTAGAACGCCTCGCTGAGTTCTCTGTCATTGATCACCTGAAGTGTGGCATTGTCATAAAGCCAGCTAGTAAATGAGGTTGAAAAACACTTGAGGCATACCACAGTTTTGAAGCAGTTTCCAAATTATTTCTCTGTTAACGCTGTCTGGTGAAGGTCTTTTCAAAGTCGATGAATTTGTGATAGTGAGAGATTTGACTGTTATTCTACGCTTTGTTCGATGATAATGCGTAGAGTTACAATTTGATCAGCATACTATTTGCCTTTCCTAAACCCAACTTATTCCGTGCCAGCGAATTTATGTTCCAATGAATCTTTTATTCTCTTCAGGATGTTGTGACTTAGTTTTTTTTAGCGTGGATAAGAGCATTATTGCACGCCAGTTCTTGTAGAGGCTTAACTAGATTGCCCTTCTTTCAGTCATTAGGTACCCTTCCTTCCTTCCAAACTTCCTGCAATAATGGCGTGAGACTATCTGCCGTAATCTCTGTGGCTGTCTTCAGTGCTTCGGGAGGAATGCCATCTGGTAATGCTACCTTCCCGGACTTCAGTAGCTTGATCGCATTTAGGATTTCTGCTTTTGTTAGATGTCAGATTTTCACCATATATTCGTGAATTTTGGAATAGACAGCCTTTAATAAACCATGAATTTCATTTTGTATCAGTCAGGGAAAAACACTACCATTCGACTGGTGCCTTATTAGTGTAAACGTCTTCTGTGACTCTTAGCTTTCAGTATTTAAAGGATACCACAGGTTGTAATCAGCTAGAGAGTAAATGGAATTTCAGAGTTTATCAAAAGTGTTTTGGATCTAAAGACAACCCTTGAAATATAATGACTTTCCGTTTATTGTCAAGATTTCAGGTCTTTGTAAAATTTATTTTCTTCTCGTACCTATTTACTGTTAAAGTAGTTAAAGAACTAAAGAAAAAATCACTTTGTTATTGTTAAAGTACATTGAGCATTTTATTTTTCAAACCCCATTTATGAAATTTGTAGGTGGTAAATTCATAGGTGCAGATTAAGTTTAAATCTCTGGGATATTCTTTAAGATCTCATGTTGTTTGAACGCAAATTTCCATGAAACTATCATAGTAGTCTACATACTCAATGCTGTTGTGTTCGTCCGCAAATAAATTCAGTTCACAAATCGCTTTGATTCCATCATCTTTTGCGTTTGGACTGACAAATCTAAATAAAAGACATAAAACAAATACTCATTTTCAATTTGCAGATCTGGTGAATTTGTAAAGTGTTTATATGTTCTCTACGGTGAATGATATGATTACAAAGCTTTCAGTGTCTTTCTAGACAACATGAATTAACTAGCCTTGACGATGATTTATACCATATTATCTGGATGGACTTCTTGTGTATTTTATTTTAACCGATCTCTTGGCGAAACCATAAAGAACTGTAATTTTTTTCGTCTATTTTTTTGTAAAAATCCGATTTTGACAAAAAGTATGATCAGGTTGTGATGACTTAATAATAATAATAATTTGCTTTATTCCAAAACAGTACTTGTGATACAGAATGGAATTCTCAGCATTTTACTACAGTACTGCATCCAGTTAATACATCAACAATAAACAAAATTCTATATAGACTAAAGGTAATCTCAGTTAGTTTTGACAACAACATATCTGCATGTCGGTAGCACAGCCAAAATTGAACAGAATGTTTGTTGGTGTTGGAAAAGTAGATACTACTAGCATATTTACTGGCGTAAGCGATAGCAAAATGGTCGAGATATACAGAATGTGGAAGAACGAAGAAGAATGTTTTAAATAGAGTTTGTAAGGGAGAGAGAAACGAAACAGCACATAACAACAACAAAACAAAAGAGAAAAGGAGAAGAAAGAAAGAAAACGTTGTATCTATAAATGATATGAGTTGGAAAGACGAGATCCAGTTGTTCTACTGACTATTTAATAAGTTATAGGTATCACGCCTGATGCTTCCTTTATCGCACAAAACACGAACTAAGCAGCGTATGGTTGAGTTTTTGTACTTGCTAGTTCGAGCATATAGTTTTCTCTATAGGCTTCTGGTTCTGCCTGTTGAGATACAAGGGGAGAGTTGTGAATGAAGAGGATGATGGGAGTTAGATAAAAATGGATTTGGCCCATTTTTCACATGAGTCCTAGTGCCTGTCGATCAGAATATTAACAAGCTGGTTGAGTGCACATTGCTTACTCTGCTGACAACCTTTAACATCCTGCGTAACAAGGTATAGTCTTTCTTCGGTAGCTCTGGAAAAACTAAGGGGGAACAATAGAGAATAATAGGCAGGATGCAAGTGTTAACGAATCGTTCGAGCGCACACCAGCTCACACCAGATATCTATGGTCGGCCTGCGAAATTTGGGCTACCGATATCCACGCTGAAAATTCCATACATGTACCAAAAATGCAGTGTGGAATCAAGCTGTTACCAAAAATAAAAAATAAATAAATAAAATTGTAGATGTAAGGGTTGGGTTATTTCAGAATGTCTTTACTTCTTGATGTAGAAGGTAAGACGGAATATTTTCTTGGAAATCATCAAGATATGAGACGACCAGGAGAGATCAGCAGATAAAATGATGCCAATATATTTAATTCCCGACTTGGTTTCTATTTCAGTGCCATCTATGTTGCACACCTCCTGAATGATAACCAGTTTGCTTAGGTGAGATTTATGCCTAAAGGTGAAACTGACTGCTTGGCATTTGGAAGGGTTTAAGGTGAGACCGTTTTCCTTGAACCACTGGCTGATTTAGTTTAGAGCAGTCACTTTGACATTTGACAGGTAAAGATGCAGTCAGGTCATCAGCATATTTGACAAAGTTAATGTCATTTGAAGATGGTAAGTCATAGAGGAAGAAAGAAAGAAAGAAAGAAAAGAGAAGTGGGGAGAGTGCAGCACCTTGGGTGACACCAGCTTCAGTGAGCACAGCAGATGAGGATTTACCTTTGTATACAGTGTACTGTATTCTGTTTGAAAAGTAGGAATGCAACCAGTTTGTGACCCAGGACTCGGTTTGTGTCATAGGGAGCTTATTTAGCAAGAGACATCTAGGTACAGAGTCGAAAGCAGAAGTGAAGTCGAAAAACGTGCAGCGGACGTATTTGGCAATTTTATCTAATGATGAAACGATACTGTTGTGTAAGACGGCTGCAGTGTCTAAAGTGTTCCTACCCTGTCTGTAGGCAAATTGTTTGGGGTCTTCAAAGCTTTTAAGGGAGGGTTCGAATTTAAGAAGTACTAGTTTTCCCATAAGCTTTAGAAACGAGGAGGTGATGGCAATGGGTCTGAATATTACGTTCTTGCTATTGCCAGGTTTAGGGACGGGGTACAACGTTTTTGGAGAAAGAATCATTTAGGATGTTAGTTAGTGGAGAACATAAAGCATCTTCACATTGTTTTAGAACATATGGAGGTATACCATCAGCGCCAAAGCTACATGAGGGCTTAAGCCTTTTAAGACATTTTAGAACATCAAGAGTATTAAAGTCATGAAAGTTATCAGCTACATGATTAGTAACGTTAGAAGTAGTTATAGTAGAAGGAGAGCGTATAAAAGACTGATTAAGAGCATTAACACTTCGAAATCATTTCATCTCACTATGATGGATGAATGGATCGTTCATATAACGTACTACTGTTAGAATCTTGACACAGTGCATGTGCCACTTATCCTGGGTTCATCAGTCGTATATGCGAATAGTTAAAAAGTTCATTCATGCCGTTATCTGTCTCGGGATTAAGAAGAGAATCTGTTAAGCAAAAATTGTAGGTAGACATGCACACCAGTTAGATTGGTAAAATATGGCAGTCTCAAGTAGAACAAACATTAAATACTTCACAAACTTA